GGTGCCTGGGGGAAGGGGGGGAGGCCGAGGAGTGAGCTCGGCCGCCGTGGAAGGGGCTACCCCAGGCACCTCCCCCGCCCCAGGGCCGGGTCTCTTCCCCTCAGGGCCGACTGAGCTGGGGGATCCCCCAAATCAGCGCTTCCAGGGCCCCTTCTGCCCGCCCGACCTGAAACCTGGAAAGGAGCAAAGCGCGAATAAATCATAACAGAGCGAGGGGGTCTGAAGGGGTTATCGAGGCTGGCTTTTGCCAGAAAGCTCAGTGCGCAGACTGAGAACTGGTTGGGCTCCTCTTGGCACAGAGAAAGGGGGTTACTTGTTGGGGTTCATATAGATCTTCCTTGGTGTATTGATTCCATCAAATGTTCTCTTCTTTTTCAGCAATTAGAATTAATCACACCCTTTCAGCTGTATTTCAACCCTGAATTAATATTTAAACACTTTCAAGTAAGTGTTCTCTAAAGTTTGGGAGCTTTTTAAGTAACCTGTTGAGTTTGCAAGTGCTTGTCATTTCAAAGCTGAATGTTACAAATTACTATGACTTCTCATACTAAAGTTATATTTTTAAAAAGCTAATAAAGCTGGACTGCTGGTCACTGTATCTCAGCATAGGTCTCAGCTGCACTGACTGTGAAGGAGATTTCAGTTACATTGTTACTTGTTATTGTATTTAGACAATAAAAATAAGCTGTCGTGTTTAAAGTCCTTGTGTTTGTCTTATTTCCAGGTATGGAGGTTAATCACAAACTACTTATTCTTTGGACCAGTTGGCTTCAATTTTTTATTTAACATGATCTTTTTGTATCCTTCATCAAGTTTGGTTTCTTTCCTTGAAAACCAGAGCTCCAGAGTACAGGCATGTTGCTATATGTGCCTATAGGCAAAGGTTCAGTTCTGCTCTACCGTGAAGTTCCCGGGAGTTTAGCAGTGCTGACTTCACTGATGCCACGAATGGACATCGATGGGATTTCCTTCATAAATTGTCAAGGATTTTGCCATTTATTTTTGTGGTGTTAAGACTTTGTTGTACAAGCCTGATGCTTCAGGTTGGTTCTGATCTACAGGAGAGAATTTTGAGTAACTTTTTTTTTTTTTTTTTTTCTCCTGGGTCTGCCCTCACTTTTAAGGCACCCAGAAGGAGCTGATTGATGAAGTAAATTGATACAAAACATACATCTAAGCTCATGTATAATTGAATCCTTTTCCACTTGGATCTTTCTTTAAACTCATTTGCAATCAAATTTTCCTGACCTGCGACTTCAGATACCGTTACTGCCGAATGCTTGAAGAAGGCTCTTTTCGAGGTCGGACAGCAGATTTTGTATTTATGTTTCTTTTTGGAGGATTTTTAATGACTGTATCCTTTTTTTATTCTATACTGCTTTAGCGAAGCTGAAGATAATGTGAATGAGAACTGAATTCATGATGTTACATTTATTTCTTAAGTGGTAATACATTTTGTTCATAGCACAAGGAGTAACACTATTTGTTAAAGTTGTTTTGAATGCTTTGTGACTGTTGCTGTTAAATACTGGGCTGGTCTTTCAGGCTTTTTACTGCTTGACAGGATTATGGAAATGAGATTATTGGATGAAAGGGAACTGCTCAGATATGTAACTATGCTCAGGTTGTCTAAGAGAAATACTTTTTTGGTGATTTCATGCTAAATTTTACTTTAAAGGGATTATTCATGCTGCAGGTACCCTGAATCCTGCTATAGGTGTTGAATTTGATTGACAGTAGGCTTGATTTGCCTGTGCCTGGGAAAGTAGAGATAAGAATTGTAAGGAAAATGTGGGATGACAGGCTAAGCTGTCAAATTGTTCTCATGCTTGACCTCTCAACAATTATTTGGTGAACTGTTTTCTTTAACTAACTATCACAGCTTTTTGGCCTGTTTGTGAACTTGGTTTTCTTGGGTCAGGCATTCACAATAATGCTTGTGTATGTATGGAGCCGCAGGAATCCCTATGTCCGTATGAACTTTTTTGGTCTTCTCATCTTTCAAGCCCCATTTCTACCCTGGGTATTGATGGGCTTTTCGCTGCTTTTGGGGAACTCCATCATTGTGGATCTCCTGGGTAAGGAATTGCAAGAATCACAAAGATTTGTTCCTGCTGGTGTTTTACATGAAACAAAAAATGTGGGAAAAAAAAACCCAGAGGGCTAAATGCCTCTTCCTTATTGTTGGTTATTCTGGTATAATGGTGCTATACTTATACCAGACTTTTCTTGATTTCTAAACACTGTAGTGTATTTTGTACTGTAACAAGGACAGAAAGAGCTTCTGATGCTTTGGCTTTTTATTGCTTGGAATCAAGCCCAGGTACGTAATCTGATTGTGGGCATCAGACTATTGAAGTAAAACAGCTTATATTACAATTTTTATCCACTCTAATAAAGCCATAACACCAGTATGTTTAATAATGACAAACAGTTTTCCCTGTGTTACTGACTTGTAGTGTAAGTTAAGCTTTGAATCTGATATCGGTGTGCTTCACTGTTTTTTATATTTCTATATCTCTTGCTGTATTTTCTGTGAAAGAATCAATGTGGTATTTGGTTTTTTCCCCCTCCTGAAAACTCTAGTGAAACATTTGAAAGTTGTAAGAGAAGTATTGAAAATAACCATTTGACTTTTCTTTATATACTAGGCATTGCCGTTGGGCATATATATTTTTTCTTAGAGGACGTCTTTCCCAATCAGCCTGGTGGTGGAAGGCTTTTGAGAACACCATCTGTCCTGTAAGTATTGGTGTCTGATTGGGAACGGATGTAGGAAAAGTGCTTGCGTGGAAAACTGTTCATAATTTGTTCACATCGACTTCTGGTAAATTAGGCAGCTTGCGACAGAATTGTGGTGTGTCAGTACTTGCTCTTTTATTTAACTCGTGTTGCCAAACAAGGGAGGGAGGTCTTACAGATGTGTAAGTGGGAACTTACTTCTTGTGGAAAAGCGCTAACAGGGTTTTGTAACCCTTGATTTCTTTGGTAACGCTTTTTAGTCTTTGCTAACTGAGTTTTACCTGGTGGTGGTACCAAAGATGCATGCCTCTTATTGAGGTGTGTGGAGTGAGAAGAGTCCTGCTGTGTACAAACAGACTGACTGAGGTATTAAATATATCTAGTATTTTTTTATCTGTATATCATTCTCTATTTCACAAATTTGGCAAAAGACTTCAGCATTTGTACTATTGAGTGATGCTACTCCTACTCAGTTCCCTCTTGCATAGAGGGCTGTAATTGTCTGTAGTGCTGAGGTGTAGCAGCCTGGTGAGAGAAGCTTGCCTAAATGATAGCGCAGTTGAGACATTGAAAGTTGAGCTCTGTGAGACTCTTAGAATTATCTAGAGCTAAGCTGATTCTCTTTTTTTTTTGTTTGTTTGAACTAGCAACCTCCAGAAGCCTGAGTAATTAAAATGTTGTATTCAGACCCATGCTTAGTTGAACTGATGGGTTGTACCCGTTGGACAAGTACACTTACATTGACAGTTTATTTCTGTTCGGTGTAGGCGTTGTCTTCAGCAAGTCGTTGTACCAGCTGATGGCTGCAGGAATGGCTGTCCCAGGACAGCTGTGTTGGTCACTTCTGTAGCCCTATGCTAACCTAACTTGGCCTTAGCAGCTGAAGGCTGTTTCTGGTGAGGGCTACCTTCATATAAATGCAACTCTAGACAAATTGAGTGTCCAATTGCACATGTGTGATAAGGATATATTTGAGATGTCTCATTTTCACAGAGGGTGTATGCACCCAGCTGTGTGCAGGAGGAATCCTAAGGCTGTTGGAGCAAGGTGTTGCTGTCTTGGTAACTCTCCTCCTCTGGGAAAAGTGTCGGCCTGTCTTCAGGCTGCCATTTAGATCCTTTTACCTGTCTATGCTCAGAAGGCTGCTTAGGATTCTTGTCTGGGCCTGGAATTGTGGATTTTTTTTTTTCCCCCCTGGATGCTTACATTTTCTTTGATGTTTTAGCTGTAATCCTGTAATACCCCTGGTATTTTCTCTTTTCCTGTTCTGAAAACTTCTCTGAAATAGCCTGTCACTCGGGGTGAAGAGAAATAATCCCTTTAGCTATTCTAAGAACTGTCCCATTAAACATGCTTTACTTTTAAGGTGGTTTGGATATAATGATTGGTTGTATGACGCCTGTGATTTGTTGTTTGTTTCAAAGAATCTACTACCTTTTTGTTTCTGGATAAACAAATCTATGGAGAGAGAACCTCTGAAACTAGTAGTCTTGAGAGTGGCAAAATAACCTACGAAATTAAGCATGATTTTTGTAATAAATAGGAAAACCAAGCCTCTGATGTTGTCTCAAATGCTGACCCTTCTATGGATTTCAAGTCTGCCTGTCAGTGCCTTCATCCTGCCTCTGAGACTGAGATAATACTGCCTGTATTTGACTCTGACTCTGTCCCCTT